GCATATTACTGCTACAATTTTAAGGGAATTTCTGTTCCAAATAAAGCCTGGGAGGTGCTTGAAAATCCGGATACTATAACATCATTTCTGGGTCAGGTTTTAGAAATACTGTTAAGACAACAGGATGTATGTTCTCACATTGAGAGACTACTTAGAAGAAGTCTCACAAGACTGTGTTAAATTATTTGCTTTGGGACACCTAGAGGATCTTGGTTTTGATTTTGTTAGATACAAGGCATTAGTTCAGTCTCTGTCCAAGATTGTTTGAAACTTTGTTTTTCCATACAGTTGTACTCAGTACCCTTTAATGAAATTCATTAATGAACTTTCGTAGAAGACCTGTTTCTGTAAAAGAGCTGTCCTACGCTGACCGATCCTGAAGCAGCCTAACATACTGTTTCTTCTAATTTGGTGTATGTCATTAGATATCTGTATAATCTTGGAAGTTAGATATTCAGTGTGCTTCAACTTTGTTTCAAAGGAAGAAGTCAGAATTTGGAGAACAGGTATGTGAAAGGGTGAGAGGTGGGAAGGTGAGCCACCCAGTCAGTCGTGTAGCAGAATGCAGCCAGGACATTGCCGCGTAGCTGTCTTTATTGGAATCAAAAGAAAATGCTTTTATAAGCTGTATTAGCAGAATACTTGATGCAACTACTGCAGATATGGTGGCAAAAATTAGGCTATAGTGTTTTTTATTTGGGGCTTCTGAGCAGGCGGTTGGACTAGATGACCTCCTGAGGTCCCTTCCAATCCAAATTATGCGATGAACTTGTGACTCTGTATGTCTACATACGTATGTGTATAAACACATATAGTAATGGCACATTGGATGAGAGAGGAGGAGAGATTTCACTGAACAGTAGTGCAGCTGTATAGTTGTGCTGGACTGGTGAAATGGTGGACTTCCTAAGCTATGTAGAGGGCTTGTATTGTCATGCTCTTGCTGGTACTCTTACTCATGCTGGCGAGATTGAAGTTGGCAGGCGAATGTGCCTGTGCTTGTCATACTTGTTGCTGCTTTTGACTGTGGAAACAGGCTTAGGGAGGGGAAGAGCAATAGATTCTTTTCCTGATTTGGCCACTTAGAGGTGTTATCTTCAGAGAGGTGATGATGGAGTCCATACACTGTCTATTGTATTGTTGCTATCTGGTGCCTAACAGACATGACTCCTCACAGAAACCAGTATTTATGTAAAAAAAAAAACCCACAATTATTCATGCAGGCAACTTTCAAAGCTTCTAAACCTTTCCTATTCAATGAAAGATCTGTGAAAAAACAGGGAATAACAATTGGTTGTTTTGGTCAGGAGTGTTAATAATGTCAGAAATCTTAATTTCTGCCATATTAGAAGCTTAGCTGGCAACTGTGCTGCAGAAATTTATTGGTATATATATACCTCCATCCCTTTCTGTACTAGGAGAAGGAGGATAGGCATGACTGCTTTATATAAATTTACCTTTGTTTAAAAAGAATCTTTTTTTTTTTTATTAGTTGTAGAAAAACATTCTGTACAACAGTAGTCTGAAAGACAAGGAAATTAAGAAAGGTAAATGCAAATCTGTTTCAAAATGCAGTCTTTGTTCTAATGCTGTGTTTTAAGTTGTGTAGTGTTCTAAGATTGAAGCCTTTCCAAAGGACATTTTCTCAATGTTATCCATAGTTGGTCAGAAATATTTGTCCTTATCCTGGAGTGTCCTACAGTCCCTTGTCAGCCTTGGTGAATAACAGAAGCTGTAAGGCTGACTTTGCTTGCTGTGAGAGGATTTTCTCAGAATAGAAAGATGCAACTCTTTCCTCTAGTAGTCCCGCACAGTTTGTTCTCCTCTGATGCCCCTCTGTTCCACCTCTCCCTCCCAGGGATGTACATGGAGTTCTGCGGTGTTGGGAAGTCCAGCTGTGCCAGATGTCTCCTTATACTCCAGCACTCTCACGTAATGGCATTAGGAGTTGTTGGAAGTTAAAATAGCCTTTAAAGCTCTGATTCACCTGAAGTAGCTTGGGGGAGAGAGTTTGAAGGCCTGGCTTGTTTTGTTGATGATGGTTAAACAGGTGTATAGGATTGAGTGATGTGCATTTCCACTGAGGAACCCAGAGGAATTTTCTGCTTAAGGTTTCTCCTCAAGCAAAACCCGAAGTGTTGCCCTTTGAGTTCATCAAACATTTGTGAAGGGCTGGATTAGCTGACTATGTCTGTGATTAAATTGCTTTTCTTTTATCTGTCTGGAAGTGTTTAACAGGTTCATATCAAGTCAACAATAGCTATTAGTTAGCATGGATGATTCCTGGAATCCCAGGCTTCAAGTGTGTCTCAGAATGAATCTAGTTTTTGTGAAGATGAGTATTTTAGGGATAATGATAAGTTTTGCCAATCTTCTCTCTTAACTGTTACTTCTTGGGTGTGTATGTATTTGTTTATTGTAAATGAAGAACTATCAGTTAATTATTCCTTATTGCAACTAATGTCGTTTAGGAACACATTAGATTGCTAGCTAAATGACAATTCAGCAGCTTAACTTGCAGCAGGGAAAGGCTGAGTAGCAGTCGCTGCTGCTTTTGCCACACCTGTCCCTACAATAATTTTTTGAAACACATCTGAAAATAGATTTGAATTCAGATTTTTTAAAAAATAATTTGAAAAATTTTTTTTAGTCATGGTGATTAAAAGATGGCAGGAGTTGATGTGGTAGTATATGGCTCTCCTTGGGCAGTTTGAAGATTTACTGTTTGTTTGATTGTTTTGTGTTTTCTAACTAGAAGCTTTATGAGCACCTGAAGATTTCAGTCATTTTCTTCCCCAGTGTAATAATACTAGTTGTTCCAGATTTCAGACCAAATAGTACTCGTCCTTTCTTTTTTCATTTGCTTTGATTAGGTATTTGTTAATCTTTCAGGTCTTTCACTGAATCTATCAACAGAAGAAAATACAAAATTTTGGTTAGTTATTTCTCTGAAGGTGGGTTTTGTTTGGTTTGGTTTGGTTTTTTGTTTAATGGAGCAGAGTAGCAAGGAGCTCATTGTAGACAAAGGGGATATTCCTCATTCTTCTTGCTTTAATGTGGTGCTCAGGAACAGCAGTGTGTCTTGTATATTTGCAAAATCTAAAAATCTTAACTCCACAGATCAGCATGAATCTGCCATACTACTTCATGTTCCCTCCTCTTGTGACAGCACAAATGACAGCTTGGTATATAAGCAGTGAACTGAGTCCGCTGAAAATAAACCTGACAAATCATATGGTTAACTCCTAGCTAAATCTGTTTCCTGATTCATCTCAGCATATTGTGGGATAAATTCTGGTTCTGGTAGAAGGGAAGAAGCGACAATAAGGGCCCAGTAAGGAGATGACACTGTCCATTTTGCACTAGGTTAAGTAGTAATGTATTTTTTTTCCCCAGTAGAGATTTTAGCATCCATTTGCAAAACACCAGTGTAAAGATGTTTTCTGGAGTTTCGTGTTGATACTTGAGTATTTTGTTATGTAGGGTAGTCTGTGCCTTGGATTGAATGTCTGCTTTTGCCAAAACGGTCACTTCTCAAGTTCCACCAGGGAAGGTTCAGGCTCGACATTAGAAAGAACTTCTTCACTGTTAGAGTCTTCACTGTTAGGCGTTGGAATGGGCTCCCCAGGGAGGTGGTGGAGTCATCGTCCCTGGAGGTGTTCAAAAAATGTTTAGATGTGGTACTTCAAGACATGGTTTAGTAGACATGGTGGCATCAGGTATACGGTTGGACTTGACGATCTTTGAGGTCTCTTCCAACCATAATGATTCTATGATTCTTTTGACGGCTCTAAGTTTTAGAATGCAAGAAATATCTAAAGCAAAACATCTCTCTCATATTTTCAAATGTTGCTGTTGAATCAGAGGGCTTTTTTGGGCAGATGTTTCTTGATCAAAGATTGATTTGTGCAATGAGTTGTCCAGTTCTGACAGCAGTTAAATCTGTTGCGCTGCAAAGCATGGGCTGTTCTCTTAGCACGTCTTACCTCTTAAAAACACTTTTCTGTAAACTCTCTTACTCTGGTCTGAAGTTTTGTGTTCTTAAACTGTGGAACAAGTCATCCGTATCCTTCAGAAGTCACTTCTGTGGTTTTTGGATACACAAGGCTCTCTAAGCAGCCATGTAGCATGCTTTATCTTCAAGGGAAAATGAGAATTTGCTTCCTTTTTGCTTCCCTTGTGACTACTTGAACGGAGCTGAGAAATTTAAAATATTTGTATAATAATCAGTCTGCTGATCTTAAGAGCAGTTAATCAACAGAGAGTCCAAGCCAGATGTCCTCAGCAGTGCTATGCTGCCTGGTGCTCTGCTCCCCTTTTTAAGGTGTGCTTGGGTGATACCAGCCAGTTCTGATCAGTACCCCAGTTTCAGTACTGTGCTCCAGCCTTCGTATTCCTTCTTGGAACATCTCTCAGTCGCTTTTGCTGTACTTTCTGTCAGCACTTTTAGCTGCCCTGGAGACACTTGATCTTACCAGATCTCAGAATCTGCCAGTGAATACCAGGTAGTGCAGTCTTCTCGCAATTAACTCAGTGCTGTATTACTTGATAGGATACTTTGTCTGCCCAAGGCTGTTGGCCAGGTAGAAAGCACAGCCTTTTCTGCCTGGGTGATGATGTTGGTGCTTCTGTGCCAGTAAGTGTGTTTCCCAGTCTTCTGAATTACTACACAGATAGGATTAATATTAAGAACAGTTCTATTCTTTTGTTTTAAAGGGTTGTTATGTGGGGAAGTGAAATGAGGTTTGTACCCAACTCCCTGGTGAGACTTATTTACCTTTGACATAATTGCATAATGTATGTTCTGCAACTAATAACTGAATTAGAAGTTAGTGTGCAGAAAGTAAATTTACCTGATGCGAGCCTTCTAGTGATGATAAATCTGGATTATGTGCTTCTTGGGAAGTAATGAGGGCTAATAACTTGGAAGTAAATGAAGTAACTTGTGTATCTTTCACCTCCCACCCTGCTTATTTTTTTTTCTTTTTCTTTTTTTCTAGAACCATAGAGCGGACCCAGAAGAACTGTTTACAAAACTGGAACGCATTGGGAAAGGCTCCTTTGGTGAGGTCTTTAAAGGAATTGATAACCGGACACAGCAAGTGGTTGCTATAAAAATCATAGACCTTGAGGAAGCAGAAGATGAAATAGAAGATATACAGCAAGAGATAACTGTTTTAAGTCAGTGTGATAGTCCTTATGTAACAAAGTACTACGGATCATATTTAAAGGTAATGTATAGTATTGCACAAAGATTTGCTAGCACCCAGTTGTTTTGAATGCCACTAGGAAAAAATTCTAAAATTGAGGAACGGTTATCATGCCAACTTGACCTTTTTTTAGGAGGTTTTTGTTTTTCTTTGAACAGAGCCTTTCACGTTGTTTTGCTGCTTGCTCTTTGATGCTGGAATTTTCATAAAATGACTAGAGAATGAACAGAGTTGATAGAAGATTCCTCTTGCCATTGCTATAGCTTGTGAACCTTGCTTTTCTCTCCTCCATCCACAATCCCTAGCACAATTTTGTGGCCTTTCTGGGGAAGAAAAAAATACCTTCATAACTATAGAAACAAAAACCTTTCTCTGATATGGAAAGAAACCCTGTACCGTGTAGAGATGTGTTGGTAATTATGCAGCATAGTAGGCCTGAGACAAAGCAAAACTGACATCAGCAGAGTTATGTAACAACTATGTAAAATGTTATCTAAGGCATAATTTAAAAACAAACAAAAATGAAAACCTATAGAAATCAAAAGTGTTGACTAAGCCTTTTCAACTTGCAAAACTGTCCAGGTATAATCACCTTAAATATTTCATAAATGATCTGCAGTGTATACATATTTTAGATTATTTAAAAAAACAAAAACAAAAAAAAAAAACACAAAACACATTTAATAAAAGCTAAAGTGTTAACCATAGTTAGAGCTGTCTTAATGGTGTGAGGTTTTTTGTTTGCTTGAGTTTGGTTTTATTGTTGGGTTGTTTGTTTGTTTTTGGGTTGTTTGCTTGGGTTTGTATTTTTTGTAGGGTGTTTTTTTTTTTTTGGTAGTTTCTGTGTTTTGGTTGTTTGGGGTTTTTTTTTTTTTTCTTTTTCCTCAGGCATTTCTGGCTCCTTAAGGTATAGTGGAGTTTTGGACATTATTCTGAAGATAGATCTCTGAGAAACATTCCTGTGTCACACTTGTGCTGTATCTTTCAGTGATACTATAGAAGTATTTACAGAATTTATTTAGTAGTGTTCTTTGTAGATTTGGCTTTTTTCCTCCTCAAATTGCCAAAATATTCCATTTTTAATACTTTAATGCTAAGTGGGTAGTTTAATTTTCTATACTCCAAATACTAAATTCTCATTTTGACCAAGTAAGACAGCTGTGGTGGCTTTGCTGTTTCCTTAGTTACTTGGTATTCTGTGGGTTCTTCATGCTGAAGTGAACACAAGTTGTCACTGATGTCCCATCTTTCCTTCTCTTTACTGGGCTCAATCAGTGGGATTTTTGTTTTGTTATTAAGTGATAGAGCTCTGTGAGATGTAGTAGAATTTACTTTCCCACATCATAGTGTATTAGAAGAAGCTGGTTCTTCTCAAGATCACTTTGAATTCAGCTAGCCATGTTCCCCTGGAGCAGTGTACAAATGGTACTGCAGATCCAGACATGATCAGTCTTTTTTACAGTCCTTTATTTTCTGTCTTAAATATTATCCTCCTGGGTATCCATCATTTTAACTTTGTGTTGTAAAAGCCCAGTTTTTTGCCCTGAAATACAAACGGGTCAAGGTAAATCTTGGAAAGTGTTTTTTCTCGGAAAAGTGTTTTGTTAAATTTCAGAATTAAACAGTGATTTCAGCAGCTGTAAACGCGGAAATGAAAGCTTGATTTGATGGGGGTTTGTTTTGTTTATTTTTGGTTTGAGGTTTTTTTGAGGGTGGTGGGTGGAAAAAGCTTTAAGTCATGGATTGAATAGGGAAAG